TTAATTATGAGGGGGTGTATGGCGATGGTGATGGTGGCAGCTGTTCTTTGATGGTACTGATGAGAAGATGACGACGACAATGATGATGTTCAGCATGATGTGAAAGATGATCCGATTGTCGACTCGCGTCGCCGTCTCAACATCATGAACAGTATCACCGGCAGCAGGCACAACTGCGAACAAGTCCAACCAAAGCCTCAGCTGGGGGGGTGCACAGCCGACAACGAAACCACAGGGGCGGGGCGGGGAAGGGCACCACCACAGGCCCCACCCCATAGGGGCGCGGAGGGGGGGATACCATGGGGTGGGGGGGGAGTGGGGGTGTGGCAGCCCTGCATCATATATGTATATGTGTACCTATGTGCGTGCACGCACACATTCACGCAGTTACAGCACTGGACCACGTATGTATGCACGTATGTACGTATGTACGTATGCATGTATGTATGTATGTATGTATGTAGGTATGTATGTATGCTTGTGGTGTAAGCATATAATATGTACATTTACATGCACATGTTTATGTGTATGTATACGTAAATGTAGCTTCACGGCCTGCACAGTAGAATGCGAAAAGGTGAAGGACACACAGAGATCTTTGCAGAGGGACCAGTTACTGCTGGAAGCTTGGGTTGCCATCGTCCTTGCCAACAGGCTCCGCAATCTATCCCGTCCAGTCACCCACTAACAATTTCCCATCAGCCGCTTGCCCATCGCAGTTGAGATTGAGCTGGTCGACTCTGCTGGGTCCCAACCCTGGCTTCGCGTGACCTTCTGGAACGTCCAGAATCCAAAGGCCGAGGCGAAGCGGAATTATCCGACTGAAGAGGTCTTGGATATTGCTTTGGCCATGATGTCAATGAAGCGTAAAGCGATGTATATGCATATGCATAACATGGGTATGATTATGAACATGTACACATGTGTATGCTGCACACGTATAACGGTATGTGTATATGCTTCTAACCATGTGTCTATCTAGGTCTGCGCATACATGTATACGTATACACATAACCTTCAGAACTACACGGCCGAGATTTCTTGCTTTTAGTTTGATGACAATCCCGGATTCTCAGCTGCGAAATACTCGGATCCTTTACAAAGTAAGAAAAGCAGTCGTCATCATCAGCTTTGAGCTTCCGGCTCTAGGCTCTAGGCCCCACATCTCAGCAGGAAGCTCTAAATCCAGCTTCTGAACTACTGTTGATGATATAAATCCTGCATTACCAGTTTTTTCAAATTTTTCATATTATCAATATTGTTAATACTAGTAGTATTATTAATACTAAGAATATTATGTATACTATTAATATTATTAAGTGCTCCTCAGACTGAGGCCTGGACTTTGGGAAGCCCTCTGCCATCAGAGCGTAGTCCGAGATGTGAGGCAACTGCGAAGCGCTTGTGCTCGGTTTTAAGCTTTTTACACCGAAAGACTTGGGGCCCCCCCGGATTTCCCAAGAAAAGGGCTGAACCAGAGACTTGGCAGTTCAAGGTGCCAGGTTCTCGGATTTGAGGTGCTTCTTCCGCGCTGGATGCAATAATATTCAATGTCTTTCTAGACCCTAAGCCTTGAACCCTAGCGAGATCTGCTACTAGTAATCCTCCTGTCGGGTTGTCAGACGCGAAGGCCATTGATAAGTGTGCCACAAATGCATCATATCATTGCAGTAGCTACTCCTGTTACTCTTGTATCTTGTATACTTATTCTAACCATAAACACTAGTCACTACTCTAAGTGTTGCGATTCTCCTAGTTAGTTTTCACGAACGCGATCATTCGTCTGTTGGTGATACGTATGAAAAATTTATCCTTACTACAACTCTTGCATTTACCATTATGTTTATCAGCCGTCGTAGTAGTAGCAGCATGTACAAACATCTCTGTAGTTGCTTCGATTAGTGGCGGAAACTTGCAGCTCGAGTCGCCCAACTCTTATGAAAAATCGGTGGATTTTCGGGCTTGTAACAGGTTTCAAGTCTTTTTGTTGACACCTCTTTTCCTTGCGCATGGGTATGGGGTCGGAATGCCAGCGTGGCTGAGGCGGGTGTGCGGGAGACCGAGGCCGAGGAGCTTCCTACACCACCATTCTCGTACTACTAATAGTAATAATAGTAACAATAGTAATAATAGTAATAATGGCCATAATAGTAATAATGGTAATAATAGTAATAATAGTAATCGTAGTAATAGTAGTAATGGTAGTAATAATAGCAATAATGGTAATAGAAGTAATAAAAGCAATAATAGCTGCTCAGTCTACCAAACACTGGGCCCATTGGAGTGCCTTGGTAGCCCGAGTCGCCCACTCATCACATGCACACATCAATAGGATGATCAGGGACTCCGGACGATAGCTACCATGACACAGTGGTTCTGCAGGAAGAGTTCGACAGTCATCTGTCGCAAAGCTGGGCAATCAGCCGGAAGAAAAGACAAACAACGACAAATCACTTCCGTGCAGTACACCTGCAGGCTTCGGCAAGCCTGCTACGCAGCTGACGTAGCTGTCCATCTACAGAACCAAATGTTGCGCGACTCCCTGATAAAATTCAAGACGGTTCCAAAAAAGGAAGCCCTCCATGCCAACACAAAGGCTGCGGCTTAGCGCCACCTGTGATTTCTCATGGAGCAAGACTATACAAGTCCAGAGCAACCGAGTCAGAACCCCTTGCGGTTTTGCATGAACTTCCTTCGAGCTAAAATCAGATAAAAGCATATTCTGAGCTGTTGGATAGTGTTTTGCGTCGAAGTAAGCTCGCCACGATTGGCTCAGAAATCGTCACCTCGAGACACGATCTCCTTGCACGTCGGCCGCAGCAGAATGGTGTGCTCCATCTGCGTGACGTAGGAGCCCTTGGCATCGCATAGGGGCGGATATGGCTGGACAATGTCGTTGTCCACGAGATTCTTCAAGGCCATCAAGTGACGGGTCTGGCCCAGGTCATCCAACCATCGTCGGCAGAAACCTAAGGTCCCAAAATTCTGCTCGATCGTATGCAGCAGGGCCTTTGAGCTCTTCACACGCAAGGGCACATGTTGCGCATCGAAGATCTTCATGAAGTGGGAGCACTCGAGATCCTCCACTACATAGCCTTTGCCATTGGAGGCAAAAGTTTCAATGGCGTAGAACTCTCCCTCCTCCATGAAGGAAGACTCTTGGTTCTTGACAATGGGTACCGACTTGCAGCCGTGGATCCGATACGCTTCAATGGAGTGGCCATTAAGGTTCCGGACCGCCTTGATGGGCCAGGTCTTGCCATTCCTGGGGTTCTTGTTAAGGGACGTAAAGCAAAACGCCATAATCAATAGGGATCTATTGTAAATACAGGAGTTTCATTATTGTGGGTAACTTGTATTCAACCCCTTAACAACAACCCAGATTCAGCTCGATCTCGTAGGACTCGATCGTCTCCTGGATGGCGGCTCCGATGTCTTGGAAGCGCGCATCGATGCCCGCTTCCTTAACCTGGGTTCTTGTTAAGGGACTTACTTTAAGTTGCCATAAGAAAGAAACCCGATTATTTACAATAGATCCCTATTCTGGTAACTTGAACTTAAATCCCTTAACAAGAACCCAGTGACTCCAGTGTTGGTACCTGCCTGACTTGCCTCAATGATGGGGTCATACCTCTCATTGAAGGCCATGGTAAAGGCGCAGTCGACAATACGACCACCGACTTGAACACCAAAGTCCAACTTGCAGACGTCATCGTACTGCAAGACGGTTTCGTCCCCATAGTTCGGAGTGTAGTGGGCAGCCACCCAGTTGAGTGAGCAACCCGTTGGGAAGCCCCAGCCTGCTTCCAGGCCGTTCGCTACCACCAACTCGTGGGTTTTTCTCTCCAGGCGCTGGCAGATCTCCGTCATCTTCAGCCCTGGCTTCACGAAGCTCTGCACGTACTTCCTGACCTGGCGATGGACCTCTCCGGCTTTGCGGATCTTCTCGTAGTCGTAGGACGCGAGCCGCTCCATCTCACGCTTCTCAGCGGATGTCGTCCGGAAGGCGTTCGATCCGACGTACTCGACACATTCCCCGAGAGGAAACTGACTGTCAGGATACTGCTCGCTGACGGGAATGTCGAAGGCTGGGCTTTGCCGCGATGTGGGCACCGCAGCCCAGTTTCGGACCCGGCGGAGGGCGGTATTGTCCTGCTCGGGGATGTTGAAAACCTTTGCCCCACCTCCTCCGGCCTTCTTCTTCTTCTTTTTCTTCTTCTTGTCTCCCGTGGCGTCTGCTACATCCGCCTTGTCCTCCTCATCGCTTTCTTGCGCAGCATTGGGTGATTCTGCACTTGCCGGCACAGCTTCTTCATCCTGCGCTGCATGCCCTGCTGCGGGGTCCTTCTTCTTCTTATTCCTCTTTTTCTTCTTGGCTGCGGCAGCGCCTTCTGCCGCCTCGACCTCTTCCTCTTGCTTTTCCTCGGGATCTGGATCCACCATGCTCTCTGCGAAAACCACGCGGAACCAGCTGCACTGTTCAAAGCGCTCCGAGCAAAAGACTTCTGCTTGAGCCAAGGGTTTTGGGGCTTCGGTCTACTTCGGTGGCTTCAGCGGCGACCACACGGAGCAGATTGCATGACAGCTGCAGCAAAAGAACTTTTCAGGAGGCGACGAGTAGCTGCTGTGAGCATCGACTGCTGAGCAAAGTTTTCTGTACCCCCACTATTCGGTGAACAGCACAGAGACAATGTCTCTGTGCTGTATGTCATACAGAGACACGAAGAGCCGGCTTTGAAGCAGACTCCAACTACGGGGAGCGGAACTTCCAAAACCCCAGTCATCCGAAGGGTGACTTCAGGCCTCCTCGTGTTCGGCACGAGCAGCACGCCCTTGTGTCCAGATCCACCGGATCACAGCGAAGAAGACAAAGACCTCACTGGACCAAGGGGCGCAGAACCATGGAGTTGCGCGAGCTGGCTTTCCCTGGCCCTGAGGCAAAGTAATATGACAACTGTAGGACAGAGGTACATACTAAATGCATATTAAACTCTTGCTACTGATAGTGCAACTGATACGAACCGCTGATACTCTGATGAAAAATCGGGCAGCTCTCGCCGATGCACACTCAGAGCCCATGGAATCTATGTCTAAGCCCAGCTGGGGACAACAGCGACACGACAGAAGTAGGGATCATCATCATTGTCCGCATCATCACAATCACCGTAATGAATAACATCATCCTTATCACCCTGCATCGCCCTCGTCATCATCACATCATCAGACCAGAAGCAAACCATCATCATGATGACAGTACGAAGAGCTACCAACAACATCATCACCGTCATGGCCACCAGTATCCGCATCACCATCTCCATCACGGTCTTCTGCTTCTCCGTCAGCATTACTGTGAGCATGACATCGTGACCACCATCACCACCACCGCCGCATCATTGTTCTGAACCGGAAGCCTTCTGCCACCACAGCTACAGCGTGAAATCCTCAGCTGCAGAGGAGGTCACTTGTCGTAGTCCGCGCGCCAACATCCCTGTACTGAAGCCCACATACACTCCCAAAGCCAACCGGGCACAACCCCACCAAAGCCACAAACAGACAGCCGGCTCTCCGAGACTGCAGCAAAGACCATGACAGCATGGAGCTTCTGGGCGAGGCCTTCAGCTTGGCTTATGCCTGTTTGTATACACAAATTATATGTATATATATATACATGTTACATATATGTATATACGAACAGAGTATTATATAGGATAATATGAAATAGTATGGCATAACAGAACATGATAGAATGTAGTGTAATATGATATAACATGATAAAATATAAAAAAGAACTGTTGTAAAATATAGTATACTGTATTACAATTTAATGTAATCTGGTATCGTATGATATATAATAAAGTATAATACGATACAACATATCACAGTATAAAATAACATGCAATGCAGTGGGAGATTTTGCAGTGCGCTATTCATAAACAAACTATAAAATACATCAAAATGTATCACAATATTATATGGCATGATAAGTACAGCATAATATATCACGGCTCAATACTATATAACCTAATGTAATAGAATACAACGTAATATAATACAACAAAATCTAAGATGACATGATGTGATGTAGTACAACAATCTACAGTATGATACAGCAGAACAAAGCATAATACAATCCAATATTGTATAATATAAAATATGGACCAGGCAGGGTATCTATGCAGCAAATATCCCGCAACTCTCAGCCTATTCCAAACCTTTTGACCTAATGCTCGAGCCTCAAGCTCGGCAATCCCCGGGGCTGGAATCCTTTGGATACATGAACATATACTCATGTAATATGGCTGCGCACATGCATAGGGATGATGCTCATCATACATACAAAAACCACTGTAGCAAACTTCGCGCATCACCATGGCCATAATTGTTCGCAATAGTAGCATTTGCTGTTACAGAAACAGCTGTCATGCATACATGATGTATGCATCTATGCATACATACATACATACACACATGCGTACGTACGTCCATGCATACATACATACATACATACATACATACATGCGTACATGCATACATGCATACATGCATACATACACATGCACACACATACATGCATGCTGCGGGTCACGATATTTAGCAAAAACTTCCTGCACACAGTCGAATTCGATTCAGATGCTGCAACCCTCTCCGACAGCCGCATGCAGGAAGATGGATAAGATCTCATCACCGCGCATTGACCCATACGGTATGATGTGGGTGCTTGTTTCTCGCATTCCACGGACCAAGATTTGTCGGCAGCCAAACCAGAAAACCTATCGGACATGAACTCCATTTCCTGTGGCTTTGATGCTTTAGCCAAGCGATCGAAGAGTCCATCACAAGCCTTGCGGCGATGAGAAGAGCCGAGGTCGCAGCCAAGCTGTTCTGGTCGTATGAGTCGAGGTGAGGATGCGCTTTCTTTGGTCAGGTTAGGCAAGAAGTAGCCTGGCAAGTAAGCTCGTTGTGCCAGTGTTGGTGAAAGTATTTGTGCAGGCGCCGGCACGACAAGCATTGCAGGCGCCTATCAGTGACAGCACAGTCAAGAAGAAACCTCAGGCCAGGCTACCGACGTTTGACAGACTTCGGCTGCCAAAAAATCACATGAACATCACACAAGCAGCGGCGGGAAGCATGGCAAGACACAGGCCGCGAGGAGGCATGCCGCAGGAAAAAACGGAGAAAGAGAGAGAGAGAGAGAGAGAGCGAGAGAGAGACAGAGAGAGAGTGCAACGCGTTCAAGCGATCATGTGGCAGCGTGACATTGTGCAGGGCTCCCATCTGAGATCCGAGCTGAGTAGCGCCTTCAGCCATGCGGAAGACATCAATGCTGAAAAGCAACACGAAGCAGAAGTTGCATGCTGGGCGTTGTCAAACTACTAAACTGTAGATTCTGTAGACCACCCAGGCAGAATGCCCTCCCTCAGGGCCCTAGAGCTGCGATCCCTGGCATCAGTTGCCTTATGCTTGTTCGGTTGAAGATTCCCTCCTATCCCAGCGATCCACCGTGGCACGAGAATCCTGAGACCCTGGGCACGGCCTGGAATGCCAGGTGTCGGAAGTAGAGAGCCGGGGCAAGACCCGAAATGTTCTCCCTGGCAGGAGAAGAGTTTCGCGCTTCCGGAACAGGACAATTATATAAACCCCTGAGCCTCTGCATGTTGGTGGCAAGCAAGGGGTAAAACCTTGAAGTCAGCTGCAGCATCAAGTCGGGCAGAATTGGCAAAGGAAACTTCTTTATCCCTCATGGCCGGGGTTCCAGCACATTACCCGGCACGGAGTAGTTGTGGACCTTTGCCCGTCTCCGATGTTGCAGACAATGTTCGAGGGCGCCTGCGACCATAGGAACGCTGTGTGCTCGGAGCTTCGGGCTTAAGCTGCGGTCCATTGCGGAGTCTACAGTGTATACATGCACTCTCACAGACTCTCACAGACTCTCCGCAAGCTCTAAGCAAGAAACATATACTGCAGGCTGAAGGAGATTCACGAATCAACACCATCCCAACCGCTGAAAGCCATCCCGAATCTCAGACCCCAAAAACTTACCGCTCTGCCTGGGCTGCGGGCCGAGACCAGGCTCAAGCAGAGAAATCTGCGGAAGGCGGATGTGGTCCCATGCTGGGGTGTGTGATCGGTTTGATGCGACCCTCGGCTGCATGTGCTGCAACTACCGCAATGCTTCTCAATGGTTCTTGCCTTAGCGCTACTGCAAGTTCAAGCTGGGTCAGTTGACGATCGAAGCCCCCGCCAAATCTGAACCTCCCGCCACTGCGCCACAAGCACACAGCCCACCTCAGCAGCGTCAGCACAGCGAAGACCATCGTGAAGAGGAGCAGGCCGGCGAAGATGAAGACTGCAGAATAGGGATGGATAGCATGCTTCACTTCACAGTCCTGTAATACATCTTAGATGATTGAACTAGTCATGTGGCTAGCATAAACATGTCAGGAAGTATCGAACCTGTAGGACTTCTGACAGTTTCCTGGTTGCGGGGTCCGACTGTTCTTCACGGTTGCAGTGATCTCCATCCGCCAGCTACTCTTGGATGCAGCTGCACTTGCAACAAGATCGACTGGCTAGGGCCCCTGGCTGAACACAGAGACGCACTGCTTCTCATCTTCGCTGCCGAGGCTGCCAAGCAGACTGCCGATTGCATCGTCCGGGCCCAGGAGGAGGCGCGTAAGCGGAAACATGCACTCCTCCAGGAGGAGAAAACCCGGCCAGAATCGAATGAACTAAAATGCTTCGAAACATGCTGTTACATTCGTGTGCATGCACCTCTTTGCTCATGTTGATATGTGTGTGGGATGCTTATGGTTATGCTTCATCCATAGGTAGCTTGCCCCATTTAGAGGGCCGTCTTCAGGACTCGGTCCACCAGATATGACACCAGCGTGGAACAGAGGAAGTGCGACTGCTTTCGCAGGCCGGTCCTGACAGCCATCCTCTTTGCTGCAGGTGTCACACCCCGCCACGGCACAGGCATGACAGACCTGCTCAACTACAAGTTTTCGCCAGCTATGCGGCCTTTCTCACCCGTTCCATGCAATGGGCTGAAGCAAAACGCGCGACCGGAGACCTTTATGCTCATCACAGGCTACAGCGCGATGCGCTTCATTACCTTGCTTGTTGCTCGTAGTCCTCAAGACTTGCTTCACTAAACGCGTAAATGTGAGACTCACAGAGCACCAATGCGTATCAAGATAGGTGGCCTGGAAGTTGTCCGCATACGTGGTCATAGGGCGGTTCTGCAGCATCTCTTGATAGACTCTTGTCAATTATATGATGTGAACGCACAGAAGCATCACGAAGATAAGCTGCTAAGGGCAATGCGACTGTACAATTTGTGGCGCTGGAAGCCAAATTTCCGATGAAATACCTTGGCGACCGGAGCAACAATCAGTTGTCGACTTCAAACCCTAAACCCTATCAAACCCACACCGAAAAACAGTCAGAAAACGAGGCCACCACCGTTTGCCATTCACATGCTCGCATGGGTTCCGCCCTGTCCACGCTGTCAGAGGAACCGGCTCCATGGCATCATGCAGCGATACGCCCCCTACTTGTCAGGAAAGCTTTGAGGCATGTAGGAATCTGCTCATGCTCTGAAGTTTTGTGATGGCAGCGCACGGAGAAGTTGTAGTCGTAGTAGCACTTGGTACTGTGTGCTGATAGTCTCCGATTTACATCGTTCGTCGGCGACGTCCCGCTGCAGGGGCTGATCCTCGCGGTAGTTAGCCTTGAGGGTCTACGTAGGGAGTCTCGGGAGGCCAGGCCAGGGAAGCATGGGATGGAGTAGAAGTTGGGGGTTGCTGGCTGAAAAAGCAGCTCCTCACGGTTCCATGTTTAAACCTTATATACATATATATATATATATGTATTTATTTATATTGTTTACTTATTTATTTATTTAAATTACTATATTATATTTTTTAATCCACTTCACGGTTTGTGTATCGGCATTTTCTTTGGGCCTAAGTGTCAGCGGCTTGAGGCAGCGAAGCACAGAATACTTACTGGCGGTTACGGTGCTCCACAATTCAATTAGAACGGTGTCCTATACTCGGTCTGGGAGGACGTTGAGAACACTGGCTTCCACGATCCACTTTTCCATGAGCTCACGTCTGCAGGTCATCATCACGTCTCGGATGCTTCTCAACTGCTGGCCTGCGGAATAGGCGTGGCGGGATTCTCGCCAATGTTCAATGCCTTCAAACACTATCCACAATCTGAACACAGCATACACAGCAACCCGCTCACTACCAGTATCCTGACTATGGTTGAGCTGGTTCGCTACAGTTTCTGGGCCTTGTTGAACGAATCAAGCTCTCTAACCAAACCCAGAAAGCCAAAGATAGTCATCAGGATAGTAACAGTAAGAAGAATAGGTCGCCTCAGTCATACGAAACGTGAAAGGATAAACGTCCTAAAAGCAATAGAGCGTAGTACTGCAGGCGGTAACAATGCAGTGTTGCTCTCATGGAATGTACCAATACATGCATTCAGCAGCACTCCACCCAGAACATGCGCCACAGTAGTGTTGCGGCAACGTGGGGTGCCAAAAACAAAAAATGTGGGAATCTGGCAGGAACACGATTTTTGGTCGCCCTCGAAGCAAGCACGGCAATGCAATGGGAGCGCGATTTCGGGAGGCGCAAGCAGCGGGACTGAAGCGGGAACACAATGCATCTCGCCAAACATATGCACGGCAATGTGGCCAGAGCTTGAGGCAAATTCCTTGGGGAAAAATCCAAACATATCCAGACCGCCAACCTGCGGGAACCTAAAACCCTCAACTGCTGCCAGCACGAGGATAGCACAAAAACGGAAATATGACGGCACTACCTAGAGCGTATGCTTTGCTACCCCATGAATGGGCCTAGAGCTGCAGCCGTGCAACCAACGGTTCTGAAGCCGTACCCAGATCTCACAATTGGTGTTCAGGCCAGTATAATTCTGACGATCTTGCCACACAGCTGCCTTTCTGCCGTTGCACCTGGAATTACTGGGAAGTGCACCCACACGATCATTACCCCGAACAATGTAGTGTAATCTCTACATCCGGAGCCGTTGAGGACTTTGGCACCGCAGCGTTCCTAAGCCCTGCATGCCCTGAACGGTTGCAGGTTCATGGCACTGCGAATCATGCTATTACACTCAGGACGAGAGCCCTGAAGTGCTGCATTGCATGATTATCGCATTCTGTTTACAAAACCACAAGCCACTCATCCCCTCTGAAGCAGGCCTCCTTCTTCTTCTGCTCATCAAAGCGCTTCTGCGCCTCTGCTAGCCGCTCTAGCCCTCATACTACAGCAAGCAGCATACAGTAGATTCACTAGATTAGATGCGGTCGATTACATGACAAACCTTTGCGTACGCAAAGATTCATGTTTGATGTATGTGCAACACTATGGGTGTACACACATTCACACACACACACACACACATATATATATATATATGTACAGTTATATACACGAAAAATATGGTATAATGGGGGGCAGTGCTTGGGGTTCGGCGGGCCTCAATCTACAGACCATAATCCTTGTGGCTGGGATGCACGATCAAACAGGCAGGAGCAGCTGATAGCAGTTGCTAACTGCAAGCAAACAGCTCACCACCGTGGGCTTCTCACACCTTGAAACTGTGCCTGATCGCACGGAAAGAGGCTGAATTCATTGTATGGGCTACACTCACAAGATGCTAGGAAACCCCAGCCACATAAAGCAAACAAAGACCGCAGAAAGGCCTCTTTCTGGGCGTTCAGGCGTTCCTCCTTCTCCTGAGCAGGGTTTACCGTCTCTCAGCTGCTTATAATTGGATCCTCTCTTTGAGATGCCACATAATAAGCCCATGATAATTGTTTATTCTTTCATGGCCAGATGCCTCTGGGCTCACTGTGGCCTAATTAGACTTGTTGGCCATCCCCCAGAACATCTTCTCCCAAGGCCCTGTGCCATGACGACTGGTGTCGCTGTGCAACAAACATGATGAGCAACCCTGGGTTTCAAAAGTGCCCTTACAACCCCGCCTGAGAAAGGCCACAGTCAACTTCCACGTATCTGTATGTATGCATGTATGCATGTATGCATGTATGCATGTATGTATGTATGCATGTATGCGTGCATGCATGCATGCATGCATGGATGCATGCATGCATGCATGGATGTATGTACAACGACACCGCATCGGCACCCGCCTCCGGTGTGCACTTCATACCACGCTTAGCGAAGGCCTCGTGGGCACAAGGCAAGCCCGCGGGCCATGCGGAAGTGGGTGTAAAGCTTCGGCTTCCTTCAAGACTGTCCCAACAAGTATGCACGGCTACGAAGGCGCATGTGCCCATGTCGAGAAAGTAGTTCCCGGACTGGGAGCACTGACCCCGGGAACGTGAGGGTTCAAGGGGTCTAGGCCGCGGACAGGGCCTGCATTATCAAGACGGTACCATACAGTTCCAGTAACTCGGGCAGGGTGTGCAGCTCGAGCGTGTCTAGTGAGGTCGAGGATGTCGGCAGCTTGCGCATGAAATCACGCAGCAGGCAAAACTCGGCACCACATGCTACAGTATGTACGCGGAACTTGCAACCATCTCTACACCTGGTCTCCCTCAATCCCCAAAATGTCAGCATTGTTCGAGCTGAAACGAAGGCTGTGCGTTCACGGCCAAACAGCATCTGTTCGACCAGGACGTAGACATGGTTTATGTTCGGGCCAGTAACCTAGCACAGGCAGCATGCTTCAGAATCCCAAACCCTAAACCCTAAACACCTAAACCCCGAAACCCTTAACCCTCCCATGAAAACGGCAAGCCAAGGAGTCTCTCGAACATCAAACGACGCAAAGCTCTGGGAATCCCTTCTTCGCGGAACCACAAGCCCTTGTTGTTAGTTCCGTTGTAGCAACCTGCTATTGAGTAATTACTGTGCTGTAATATAAATTTGTAATGGTTCAATATAGTGACCCTGAAAGTACTATAATACTCTAGTGTACGCGGGTGTCCGGGTTCCATGCCTGGTTGCGCACGAAGCGGCAGTTCCTGAGCTGGGGGGGAAGGCTTGCAGTCTAAGGTTGTGGCACTACTAGCGGCACTACCTAACAAATATTATAGGGTGGTAGTATGTACATATTATATAGAATATCATATATAATATACAATAAATAATATACACATAGGGGCCTCACTAGTTCGAACAAGGTTTGGGCGATACATTCTTGAATGACACGGAACCCATAGACGAGAATTGCTAGCTATTCCGGATTGTGTATTAGAGCTTGGCGACGTCGGGGGTACAGGGTAGAAACCTCTTAGCAGAGGACACTGGTTTTGAGGTTTCCAGCATATTTGGTTCCAGGGAGGATCCGTTTTGAGTTCCAGTTTAGGTAGCCTGCTCCGACAAGCCAGCCTATCTGCTTTGCCGGAGAGTCCAGCTTAAGATGTATTGTAAATAACTTGACCATCGTCCATCGGACCGCCAACAAACCGGACGAGCAAAGTCTGAAAATCCGGATTGGGCGCGATGACGTTGCACGGAATCAAGTTCTACTGTAGAGCAACCGTGAACTTCCAAAAGACCTGATCGTTTGACGAGCGGCATGCCGCGCATGGACATCTTGCGTGGTCGCCGGGTCTTCTTGATGCCGTTGCGGTGGTTCTGTGCTACGCGGATTGGCGAGGGCTCTTGAGGCGCAAGCCAACAGCTGGCACGGCCTTTCAACACCGAGCACACGAAACACAACTAGGTCAACACTACTTCGGTACCAGGCCGTCTGACATGAGCAAGTCCTTGTAGATCTGGTTGTGCCCGGTGTGGTTCCTGAGATTTATCGGAGAGACTGGGAGCCGGAACACCCGCTCGTCTATGTTTTATAGGGGCCTTGGCAATTAGACGGGGGTTTGGGGCATACTGTAGTGCAAGCATACATAATTAAGAACTCTAAGGACTAATGCTCGTAATGATTCAGGCTTCTGTGTTACGCGACGATCCAGGAAAGACCGACTCTAGACCCTTGAACCTTCAAGCAAGTGGGGGGGAGCTGCACCGGGGAGAAACCAAAGATCCCAATCAGAACTCTACAGACTTCATAGAACGCCGCCCCTTCAAAAACACGAAAAGAATTCCAAAGCCCAGGTGAGAGATTCATCTAACCGAGCATCTTTGACTTGGCCATGGCTAGAAGGAGCTGGGCTCAGTGCAGTATGCAGAATGCGGGAGCTTGAGCCTATTTTGGCAAAGGGCCGGTGCAAATCGAACCTCGGCTTATGAGCCGAAGTTCCATTCTCTGGACCGCCAGAAACGCGCAGCCTATTCTTTGTTGCGATCAAGCACGAGGTGGTCGCAGTCAAGTTGAGCTAAACGTGCTTCAACTGCTCCACGATTTGTCTAGTCTAATGCACACGAAAGGCGTTGCTTCTTACCACTGGGCTTGGCGCTTGGTGCTCTGATGCTCACTACCTGCGCCCTCGCTTGCCGCTCGGACTTCTGGACCTCACTGGACACACTTTGCAGGACTACTCATACCCTATCTCGCAGCTGAG